GAAACCAGTCGCAATGACGAGACTAATTACAATCCTCCGACCTCTTCGTATCTACACCTTGGATGCAACGATTAGTATTTTGTCACAAATATAATGTGATTATAAACAAAAATAGAAAAAAAATATAATCCAAATTGGTCTCAAATGGGAGATTCAACTTCTCTTCTATACGAATTTGCGCTATTCGATAACTAATAGCAAGGTATCTATCGTTACACTGTAGTCAGAAATTTATTATTCACATTGTGTGTCAAGGAATTCCTTGCACAATTTCGTAGTTAGAAGTCGTTACAAAATACCATTGTGGCTCGATATTTATGCACGTTATTGTATACGGGATAACGAAGACTGGAATTTAATTGTACGATAATGGGGAGAAGAAAGTTTTCCTGCTTTATGCATCGCACTGCTAATAAGGTCTATAATTTATTACATCATACGCAACCACTGACTTAATTACTGGTTTTACCAGATAGATTTTCCAACTAAACCATAATTATTGTGCAAGACGTTGCGGCACAAGGGACGTACACACGTCCAAATATACCCTAATCAGGTCTGCTATCAAACGACCGACCTTAGCAGTGATTATCATAATACATCGAGAATGGAAGAACACATGTAGCCTGCTGGGAGTCAACCTAGAATGTCTATACAGGGCGAGACACTTAAAATAGGATACACAAATAACAAATTTACTTTTGATTTAATTGTTTGATGAATACGCTGCTCTTCGTTACGAAACGGTGCAGTACGTTAGGTTTCACGGCGGAAAAGTAAACGCGATAATGTTCGTAAGAAACGATGAAACGTGTATTTTACTTGGGAAACTGAAACGTGCTACTTTACGTAACGCGCGTCGATATGAAGGTCAACTCTGTTATTCCAAATACAATATGTTTGTTTATATATCTTATACACGAGATTTTCAAGATGCGTACAATAACGGTTCGAAGGTATTCAAGGCCGTTAAAGGTCAATTACGACTGGAAATATTAGACCGCGAGGAACAGACCGAACGCTTGGGTATTTTATTTTAATACATAATGTTGACACAAGTGCTAAAATGCTGACGTTTAACATGCTCTAAAGTGATTCGATACGGAAAATATTGCACACTGATCGTATCCCTAATAGCATGAATGTTTGTTTCATATTTAGGCTACATTTACCACGACTGAAAACTCTCTGGGATCATAGATTCCAGTTGTAAGGAAACGCGACCCACCCCAGCGAGGCCATCAGGATTTCATAGTCGTGTCGGCGAAAGCAACGACCACGGTCGATATTTCTTTTTATCGTCGAAGACGCACGAAGCGCGAGAGAACCAGTCGAAAGGGAAAGCATAGAAGAGGGAAAACGAAAGGAGGAGGGATGCGGGCGTTGGTTCCCGTTGGAGGGAAATGATAAAACCGGGCGGCTGGGATAAGAGAATTCGTAAAGTACGGTAAACGTAGTCCGGTATTTTCCAACGGGTCGTGAGACTCTTGCGGTGAACGATCGACCGTGATGCAACCGGCTTTGGTAGGGGCGGCGCGTTCGGTCGGCTGGAGGGTTGCTAGTTTGCTAGACGGACTAGCAGACGGGAGTAACGATTGCCAGGCCACCCCCTCCCGCCCTTGTGTGCGACGAGCTAGTCACCCCTTCCGGCTTCCCACGTCACTGCTCCGCTACCAACCCGCCGCGACCAAACCGACAACTTACTAACCGACCCGAAAACATCCCCTAGCTGGTCAATCGCCTTCGTCTCGTGACACTACGATACATTTCCCCTACGCCCTCGCATTCACCCACACTCTCTCTCTCTTTCTCCGACATCTTAGCCGATTCAGCACCGTCGGTTCGTCCCTTCGACTCCCCCTCCATCCCTCTCCCTTTCATCGTTCGTCCATTCGATCGATTATTTTTAACATCCACGTTCCGAACGTCGACTTTTCCGTTCGGGCTTTTCCTTTCGACGAGCGGCGCTCGTCCGAACGGAACGCGGGACCCGAATCGAACCGAGTCCGACCGAGTCCGCGAAGAGCCATCTCGCGCTTGCGCCCTCGTCGCGTAACGTGCGTCGCTTTCGAAGGCGTTTCGGTCCACCTTTTCCTATCGTTTATCGTCACCCTATCTTCGTAAGCGATACGACGCTAAACCGCACGATTGCGCTACTTTCGCACTGTATCGTCGCTGTTTCGTAGGATCGGGGATCGAGGAGCTCGAAGATCGATGGGAACACGATCAGAAAAAAGTCTTAAGGACGTGCGTCGTGCTGTCGCGCGAAAGCTCATTTTTTCGCATCGATACAGCACCGTTCTATAAATAACCCGACAGCGATAAGGCTCGACGCGCAGGGTCGCGCGCGCATTGTCCTCACGTTTCGTTCGCTCGATCGGTCGAACGAAAGAACAAAAAGAAACGCGAATGCCACGCGATAGCGTTTCGCCGACAGAACGTACACGTAAATCGACAGCCGATCTTTATCGGTGATCAAACGTCGATGCGACGATTTCGCGAATCGAATCGAATCTAGTCGGCGATCCCGTGAAATCCCAGGAAGCGACGGAGCAGCTAGAGCGAACGACGCTGTCTCTACGCGCGGATAAGTATTGATCCAAGCGCACGGTCGCGCCGCGCCGTCTTCTCCACCGACGCGAATCGTTCGCTCGCATAGCTTCGCGAAATTAACGGTGGTCGTTGCGAACGATCGATAAGCGTTCCTTCGGCCGGAATACGTATAGAATCGGGGAGTGAATTTTTTTTTTTTTCTCGCTCGATGGCCAATCGATAACATAAACGTGTTCCTCGCACGAAAAATCGTAAAGCATTCCACCGTCTAGTCTAAACGAGGTTTCGGTCCTCCGATGTCGCTGGTTTTCTAGCGAACGTTCAACGTTTATCTTTCTCAGTATGTATACCGGTTCTTCGACTGCCCTGACCGCCGCGGCGGTGCGACGTTGCGCTATTCGAAAGGAGAAGAGCACCGCGCACACATTTCGTCCGCGTTACAAGACTCGAATAATCGATGGACGGGGGAGTGGGTCGCGTTCGTCCTGTAACGACGAAAGAAATAATAGCAACTTTGTTAAAAGTCGAGAACGAAGGACTATATTTTAGGAATGCTTCGAAGGAAACTGAGAGCGATGAGTTGCTCGTTCGGAGGAGGAAGCAACGGAAGCGAATGGCGGCGCGTGGAAATGTACGGAACGAGCTGCGGTGTGTAACGCGGAGGAGGTCTTGTTTCTCTATACTTCTCGCGTCGTTCGTTGAGGTTTCAAGGTCGGTTACTTCGGTGGTATGAACAAATACATAGTTGCAGTAGTTGCGCCAGGTGGCGACACTGCACAGGCAAGAGGTAACACGTGGCTAGACGGAAACTGACCTTCGTTGTCGCGAGGGACCGCCACCTCTCGTAAAGATAAAACTTTTTCGTTTCTTTCGCATCGATATCTGAAAAAACCGGCCTAAAGATTCTTTCGAATACCTCTTGTGCGTCGTATGTTCTTTAAATGTTCGTCGCGATACGATACAAGAAAGTTCGTCGCTGCATTTTCAAACGGCTCGGTACCCGTGAATCGCGACGCCATCTATATGCAGCACCACGAACGTCAATATTATCCATTTTTTACGCGTACATGGCGACAACTACTAACGCCATTTTGAGAAATTAATATCATTTAAATTTTATGGCTTCTAGGTCTTTTGCAAGGATACTGTCTGACATTGGATCCTCGACAACTATGGCTCACGATCGCAACTCACGATTACGGTTGCACGTAAAGAATTCTAGCGGGCCCGTTTTTTGAATTTCAAATTGCTCTACAAGCTTGCCAAGCCATTTTAAAATAGCAACAGAAGACACCTCGTGTAAACAAAACTAATGATTGTAGCTTATTAGAGCGATAAGAGAAAAATAACTTGCGCAAATGTTTGCATAAAGGAACGTCGTAGGAAAGAAACTGATTTTCGTCTCGGGTCGGTAAAAATTATGTTTGACAGACTGTAGCAGTTTCTTTCTTACGATTTTATGGAAAAACATCGAACAAGTCAATAGAAAACCATACAAATATTCAAACAGATCCGCTACCCAAGGAGTACGATAGCCAGAATCAACTTGGTGGCGCTCAAGTGCCACGAAAGGTCACGCAGGAAACAAGTCGGAGAAATTTTACGTGCGTTACGTTACGAGAGATTACAGGTGGTTATCCGTAAAGGTCGTTGCCGCCCGAAAACTCGATGCGGATGGTTTTTTAAATGACGACACGATAGGGGATCAGCGATTCGATTTCCACGATTGAAACGACCCGTTTCAACCATAAAAGAAACGCGTGTCAGAAACAAAGGGAGACGAAGCTTTACTTTGCGCTCGTACAAAATTTTACTGTTCGTTGAGAATCGTGCTTGCGTGGAAAGCGATACCCGACAAACTTAGACGGGATACTTCAGCCTCTATTGCATGAATCTTATTTTATCTTACGTAGAAATAAATTATTTCTAGGTTACTTATATATTTATGAATTCAATAATGCTAAACGACAAGTGGCTGAATCTACGGAAATATTAGACGATTTTATAAGTAAACATCACACGGAAATTCTACAACTTTTCTTCGATGAATTTCACAGAGGATTATTTTTATGGTGTTTCCTATCTACCGTATTATACAATAGAGGGTTAGGTTACATCGAATCGGCGAAACAATTTTATCGATCGTCATTTTTAAAACCGCTTCGCGGCAATGCTCGGTTTGCGAGCATGTTTGGGTTGCGAAATGCCACTTCTTGGTTCACGTTTACTTCGCGTTGCTTGCATTATTTGCATCGTGCGTGGGTAAATATTTCAGCGGAATATCGTGCTCCGACAGGACCAGAAAATGTCGTTCGCAAAACAAACATGGCTCGCTCGTAACCGAGCTGGCCTGGCGAGGCACATCGCGTCTTCCAGAGGCCGCGATCGCGATCGCGTTCGCTGTTGCGACCGCGGGCCCTCGTAATAGCGCAAATTCCAGCGCTTACCTTTCTTGATGAGCAAGCTAGTGACCCTCCGTAGCGCCTCGCGAGTGCTGGAGGCGGAGCTGTGCTTACTTTGGCCGAAGTATTTGTTCGGTGTGATGTTCGTGGGCAAAGTCAACGGTTTTCTCTGGTCCCCGGTGCCTGCTAACCGTGCGTCGTACGCGTTGTTCAACCGTTCCAAATGTTCGATCGACGCTGGACGTGGTTGATTCGCTTTCCTCGTGGGGTACCATCCGCGATTCGGTCCACCAGCCAATCTCAGCAACTCCGTACCGATTATCGCCTGCTCCAGTCCCGGATTATTTCTTCGATATCTGCTTGCACGAAATATTTCTCATTAATAAGTTTACTGCCACGTCGTTTTTGCCTGACTTAAATATGTTAAATATGTTATATGTTAACCACATCTCTGTGTGTAACTTGCTTTAATAAATTGCATTACTTTTACTTAATAAAGCAAAAAATAACCTATAACCTATATCTATAACCAGTCCATGGTTAACTCTTTCGCTATGGCAGATACTACCAAAAGTTCCATTATATTGTATGCACAATTGAAGAGTACAAGTACAAAGGAGCTAACGCATCTTTCAAGTTTCCTTTTTTGGAATTAAAAATATTGTAGAAATCTCCTTTAAACGATAGATGATAGTTTTCGTAACAAGGACCCCAGTGTTTGCAGTGATTAAAAGTAAATAATTAAGAATCGTATTTACAGCAGTGATGGCAAATGAAGAATCTTTGGTGTGCCAAAGCAGAAGGATATCATTTTGAAAAGAGATTTTAAGAATAGTACAACATAGAATATAGTTTGTAATTCTTTCTTAGATGATAAAAAACATTTCACTATGTGGACCAAATAAAGCCAATCAACATCCTATGTGCTGTGGCAGAAAACATGTTACTTATTCTATTTGTTCAATATTTGTTTCTAACTCTAAAACAAAGTGCTTATTCATATACTTTATATAACATTTCTTTCTTTTTTTGACCTTTCTGACGTTGCTTTTACTTTTAAAAAATGTTCAATGAGAAAACATTGTTAAATATTCTGTGTGTAACTATGGTCCCATTGTCCTCTAGGAATACGTTTATTTCGTTTTGGCATTTAACTTTTTTGATACTTCTACTCAACAATTATTATTTTGAAAATCATTCTCTAAATAAAACATTACTTCAAATAAATGTATTTCCAAAATAATCCTTTGTAGCGAAAGAGTTAACTTTAACATACAGAAAACAGTCGACAGTTTATTGTTGTATTTGTTTCTTTTAAGAGCATTTCCGTAGGTTAATTACGATTATAATAACGTGTCAATAACTTTATAATTTACCCTTGAGAAATACTGAACCGTAGCAAAGGTAAGTACTAATGCGATCACTGTCACGAGACTGAATGAACATCAGACGCGATCGTGATTAAAGCGGGAACGTGTACGATGCGTCGCCATGTTCGCGCATGCGCGTGACATCACTTTCAAAGCGCCTCGATTTGAACTTTATTCCGAATGCAGTAACGTCGTTATTTCTTTTTATTCATATATTCTCTTATAAAATACGAATTCGTCGATGGCTAATCCATTGCTATACTCGTTTGGACTATGCGAATTATCATTTCTCTTACTATTTTCAACAAATTTTTCAACAGTTGCAATCCAAGATGATAGTCAATACTAGGTGAGGTTTTCAGATTGTTCTCCATTGCAAGTAGCTTTTCTAGGAGTCAAAGGACACGCAATATCAGTGTGTCGTGTCAGTCTCGATCAGTATCAACTGTCAGAACCCGGGTCGTTGGGACTATCAAATATTAGATCCAAGACGAGTCCTCTGTGATCTTACCCAGTGGTAGCCGTGGTTGGGGCGTACCAACCAGGTTGGCGACGCGTTTGCGTCGGATTGCTCGCATGCTGTGGTGTCCTGGGGATGTCGCTTCCTCTGGCGAAGACTGGAGTTTCGGGGAGCGAGCAGGAGGTCTGCATTCCGGAACCAGTCGACACGTTACCGGTGGTTCCACTGCCACCGCTACAAGCACCGTTGCTAGTTCCGTTTCCAGCGACGCTGCCACTACAGCCGCTGCCGTTTCCACCGGTGGAGCATGGTTCCGCCGAAGGCGAGTGTCGCTTGGTGAACGGTCGTCGTCGCGATGGTCCAGGCAGATCCGTGGGAAGGGTTCGTCGTTCCACGGGTATTTGCTGCAAACGAACAAACGGTTAGATACAACAACAACGAGACGTCGATAATTATAAACGGAGAATCACGATAGGCGATTGGTAAACGATGGTAAAACGAACCATCGAGACTCGCGAAGTTTGGAACATTCATCATTTGTCGACGTCCTGCTGAAATGCTCGTTAGTAAAATAATTTGGGTTAAATTGTATGACAATTTTATTCGTCGAACCTCGTCCTATCGTCCCGGTCGATTCTTTTAGGTACATTTACTTTTTATTTAGCGAGAAAGTCGTTAAATATTACAGAGAGTGTTTCAGAAGTGCATGTAAATGCTCAATGCATGGCGTTATTGTTTCGAAAACGTTCGAATCGTTCGCGGAATAATTTAACTTTTAATCTTTCGTTCATAACAATAATAAAAGTAAGAATAACTTCAGGATCCTATGACGGAATTCATCTTTCTTCCCGGGAGATTAATTATCGAGCTTCTTCAACGAACGCAAATTGGACGACAAGATAACAATGCGTTACGGTCCGTTTCTCTTTAGTTGAAAGTTCTCGAAACGTCTCTTCTTGGTTACCTTGTAACCATTAATTGGACCCTTACTCTTCGTCCGTTTTATATTTCGTATACCAGACGGTTTCCGATTAAATCGTATTGTCTGTCGAACGTGTTCTTTTACAATAACGTTTATCGAATCGACGATATTTTTTCCCTCTGTTTCGCGGTACCGTTCTGTCCCGATGTTGCGAGCCGAGGCTGTTAAAATTCTACGAAAAATCGAACCAATCTCTACCGGCTTCACGGATACGATTTCAGCTTTCATTTTGCTCTCGAACAACGGCTGACGATCTCAAGAACCGATTGTTGAAACAAAATTGCCAATATTTGCGACACCGATACGTACCCATCGATCGAACCATCGCGTCCTTCTCCTACCGTTTTCCGCAATCCCGCCTTTTTCCGCGACTCTACTATTCGCCGTGAAAAATGCAAACGTCAATGGCTCGGAAATTTTCTCCGTTCCGTCGAAAACCACGTCTGGTTTCGAAATACACACACCCGGTTCGTTCCGACCGAATCTCGTCTTTTCCGGCGCAAATGATTGAAGTTTATTGAACGGAAAAACGTCATCCGCGTCACGACTGTCATCAAAGCCATCTCAATTAACGAATATCGTCAATGGTCGCAACGAATGAGAAATAAACCTGTTCTATTGTCACACGTTTATTCATAAAGTGACTAATTTTGTCGTTGTTATACACAAGGGACAGTTTTGGCACAAAGTAACCAGTCAGCAAAGTGTTTAAATATAGTTTTTGGACCAAGAGTCGGTCGAGTGCTTGCGAGAGAGACAAGAGCGTAGCCCTCTGACGGCGAGTACGAGAGGTGTCGCTACAACTTTCTTTCTTTACAATCCAGAAAGTACAAAAGAGCTATAGTTATATAGTTTTTGGACCATATAGGTTTTGGACCAAGAGTCAGTCGAGTGCTTGCGAGAGAGAGAAGAGCGTAGCCCTCTGGCGGTGAGTACGAGAGGTGTCGCTACAACTTTCTTTCTTTACAATCCAGAAAGTACAAAAGAGCTATAGTTACATAGTTTTTGGACCATATAGGTTTTGGACCAAGAGTCAGACGAGTGCTTGCGAGAGAGACAAGAGCGTAGCCCTCTGGCGGCGAGTACGAGAGGTGTCGCTACAACTTCGTTTCTTTACAATCCAGAAAGTACAGAAGAGGTATCGAAGCAGTCTGGTAATTTCTGTATCGCACGAGAATTGGTATTTAGACAGTGACGTGAATGCGTTGGCGTTAACGATGCAGAAGCAGGCGAGGCAAGCGGATAAGTTACCATCGAGCAATTACCACGGCGCGAAAAATCGAATAAACTTCCCGGCGAGTAATGACCAGTAAGAGGAAGAAAGACGAGTGGTAGGAAGGCGGAGGTGGGAGAACAGCCGGCGTTTATCGAGCCAATACGAACCGTCTCGAGACGGTTGTGCCGCGTCGATGAGCGGTCGACCGACACTAACCCGTCAAACCGAATAGGTTTGAAGAATGCTTCGCAGACGTCTCGACGACTAGCTTTAATTGCGCTCCGTCGATAGAACCGGCCCGCCAAATCGAGTCGAATCGCTCGACGCCTTTGCTGCAAAGCACAACTATTTAGGAGAAACCGACACAAGCGAGAGGGACCTCGAACAGTTCTGTTTTTGAAAGGTGGTTCGAAACTTTGCAGGATCGCGGTACGGTTATCTACGAACAAACGATTCGAAATCGAGCCACTAGCGTTTCACGGACTTAACAGTAAAGCGGATGCTAATTTGCAAAGGTTTCTTTTTACTTTCAATGCTTTGAGCGCCAAACGTAGCGATAGAAAGTGAAACATTTGGTATTTATATGGAATAGGGGACTACTCACCGATTTCGATGATTTTCAAATATGTCGTAGAACTCAATGTTCTGAACAAGTTTTTCTTATTAGTATAACCTACACTCGGCTTTAGTTTACGAGATATTTGCAAAATACTTTTGCTAGTATTACACTGACATGGAATTACGTTATTTTATAATTTTTGAAGTGATAGTTGTGTATTTAAAGGAATGAAATATTCTCGGAAAAAATAAAAAAAACACAACGCAACCTCAAAATACCATTAACTTTTCCGTTCAAATGTAATTAACTTTTCAGGTGCACATGCGAAATGAGTTTATATTCCAATGAAAGTTTATTCGGATAAAGTTTTATTTAAACGAGACCAATAATGTATACAATTTATACATTAACGTTTATACTAATTATATCGAATCTTTTGTTGCCGGATGGAATGTTTGAAATGCAATCTGTACTAGGGGGTAATTACATTTCTTCACTCGTCTCGTGTTACGCTGGTTTCCATTTCAAAATTAATTAATTCGCCCATTAATATAGCTAATGTAATAAACATGTATTTATAAGAAACTGTTGAATCTCGTTATTAACGTTTCGATTCGATTGTGGTACAAAATGTAATCACTTTGTGATCATTAACGAGTTAATCAGTTATGATAATATTTGTTTTAATGACTCGCGTTAGTCACTGATTAATCAGTAATCATGATTGTCGATCAATAATCAAATGACATATGCCTTCCGATTAAAGTAGTTCCAGGCACATCGACGAAAATACAGAAATATCAAATTATATTTTCATGACAATATAAACAAAAAATACTACGTACCTTTAATTATACGTTAGTCAAATCATTTTTTAAAGACATTAAACTATGCTTACATTTATTAATAATACTGTAATAAATATATAATTAAGTTTCTGTATTTCCGATATTTAAAAAAGATTCTATTTTAAATACCACCGCTATATAGGGCGACCCAATCAACTCGAGCGAATGGCGTAAGAATAATTCGCTATTGTTCAACGTCGAAAGAAAAGCGTAATTAAAATTTCACATTTAATTAACGACAGCGAATTGGATGTGCGAGTGGAAGCACGTGACCTAGAAATCACTGTTACTCGACTGTCTCCTTTGCAGCATATTTCTAGCGTATAAAGAATGCTGCTTCTAAAGCTCTGCAGCTTTATTATCCGACACTCTGCTGATTTTAATCGCCCTCAGACTTTCAAAACTTTGCATACCTCATTAGTTCTTCCGCATGTTGATTATGCACCCCAGATTCGGAACCCTTTGCAACTATGTCATACTAAGCTGCTTGAAAGTATTCAGAACAAATTTCTAGGGTACATCCGAAGGCAAAGAAAACCAAACACGCTAAAATCATTTCGGGCAGTCTACTTAGAAGACGCACGAAGTTTTCACTGACATCCTAAAATGCTTTTATATCACTTTACTAGCCACTTATCGACGTCTAAAAATAACGTATCAATGTTGTTTTCGTTTCAAAATTATAATAACATTGTTTTGTTTCAATAATTTTAATCGTATAAATGAATCTCTTGTATGTTTCTATTTACCCAAAGCAAACGTCGAATGTCCACCGTTAGGGGAGCTTCCCCTAACCAGTTCTACCAAAGCTAATACAGGCGAGAGCGTGTCAATACTTTTCTGGTCCACTGTGCATTGTCGGGGCACCCGGACTCGCCATTGACAAAAATGATTTTAAGATTTCACCGAGGGTCTCTGCTTTCAACGACCTGTCCAATCTTCGAGGGTAATTTCTATGCAATGGCGTCGGTCGTCGGCGTCACCGTCGTCGGGGGCACGACAGCGCCGGCGAGACTGGAAAAATTCCAACAACGAGGGTATTCCAGATCCGTTTGTACCGTAACCGCTCTTTCGAACGAACCGAATACTTTTGAAACTGAAACCCCGAAAGGGACGCCGTGGATGTGTTCGTGCGTCGCACCGCGGAACACTTGAATACCAAACGAGTCCCAACGAACCTAGGATACGTGATACGAGCATACGTACAGGTACGCGGCGCTACCCCGGCTCGAATCCGTTTCCGTTTTTACTTCCCGTTTCGAGTATTCGTCAGCTTTATCTCGGAATGTCGTTTACGCGGATTTATACCGCGTACGCGTATTAACCTCTGGATCAGCGTTTCTCAAACCGGGGTTCTTGGATCCCTGGGGGTGGCTGTAACCTCGCTCGGGATAAAAGCACATCGATACGAGTGTGAGCGAGAAAAAATATTTATCGCGATATTTTAATCTTGTTAAAAGGCTCTTCTGATCATTAATCGAGTTTCTAACGAATAATATTCACGAGTTCTGTAACGTTAAATGTGAATTTAAACTTTCAGAGTCCACTAAGTTTCTTCATATTTATTTTTCTGCGCCGTTCGCGCGGTCGTTGATATCGCAAGATTAGAAAATTAATGGAAAATAAGAAATTGCTCGTGTTGAGAGGTACGCAACGCGATTGGTAGGACATTACTCTATCGGAGAAAGAGACGAGCAGGTTATATTTTCTTTATCGCGCGAGTTCGCCGTAGTCCTTCGTTCAGGGACGCCCTTTTTGTTCTACTCTTAACCAGTCGTGCGTCCCCTGTATTCCTCCCTCGCGGGGGCGACCAGCAGCAGCTCTTCGCGGAGGGGTAGATACGCGATACGAGTACACGTTAGAGGCTGCACGTCACGCGCGACAAAACGATGGGAAGCAATCCTCCGCTTTCATCCTCCATTCTACTCTTTTCATTTGTTTTCTCCGCATCCCCCGTGCCCGTTCTCTTATTTTTTTTCAACGCTGTTGGCTGAATCCGATACGTCGAGGAATCCTGGCGCGCGCAAACGCGTTCCTCGCGGTAGGATGGAACTATGCGGCGAAACAGAAAAACTCCTACGCCAGAGACAGACCCCCCCTCCCAGACCGCATCCGATACCAGACGCGCGAAACGACTTGTTGAAAGCCAACAGATGATACCAGGCCCCCGACTCGTAGGGGGAGTTTCCCTAAAACCGGACCTAGCACCGGACAGTGGCGATGCCTTAAAAGCGTGAAACGCTACGCGATCGTTATTTCGCATAAACAATAATAGAGATAGAATAAGTACGCGTGCACAGCTAAAAAATCAGTCGACTGTCGCGTCTAATTAGAAGCTAGTGTATCGTACAAATTATAAACTACCTTCGTAAATATAATATAAATACCTCTCAATTTTGGAATGAAAAAACGCGCGATTATTATATCTTTTGATAATTAAGAAAATTCAAATAAATGTTGGAAAAATAAAATTATTATTTCTGTCTGCCAATGTTTCTGTTCTACGGCACTGTTCGCGTGTTTTGATGTACGCTGCACGAAAAGCGAAATTCTTTTCTCTACCCGAAGGTATACCAGCGAACAATGAAAGAAAAGCCGGTTGGAAAACCCACCTCTCGTCTGGAATTGCTGGTGACGGGCGTGCGTCTACCCCGAGAGAATCCAGCGTCCATGGATCTGGTGTTCAGAGACGTTTGATGATCCTTGGAATCCGAGGAAAGACTGGCTGGTCCGCGATGCGGTGGCACCCTGGGTCTGTATTCCATCGTCCGGTTGCTGTTGTGAGCTTTCGGTTTCGTGGTGATCGCGGCGCTTTGGCCGACGTCTGAGCTCTCCTCGTCGGCCTCCTCCACGGGGGAAGGTGGTAACGGAGGGAACTCGAGAACCTCCACGCTTACCTGTAACCATTTACCCATCGATCGTCATGGACCATCGTTGTAGGTTCGAACGATCGCGATAATTCAACAAATATTTCAATCCATCAACACTCTGCCATATATGGGTGACATAATTTTTCATCGAAGAAATAAATTATCAAATAAATTAATCTTCAAGATTACATGCTAGAGAAGAAAAATCTAGATAGGACATAGAATATGCTAGTTTCCAATTGTCTAAAGACAAAGTTTCGTTTTCGTGAACAATTTTAGGGGTTTTGTTTGGCAACGTGTTAATAGATTCCGTAAAAAAATCTTAAGAAATGTCTTGGAAAATATTTACACTTGCAAGTTATTTCTATCAGTCGCTTCTCGAGTTAAACAAACATTTAAAAGTTCGTTTTTAAAAATTGTTTGGCTATCGAATCGATTACATTTGGTGTTATTTCCAGATGCAACAATTGCCCTTTCCAAATTTCTTTTATATTTTGCTTTCCATTCCAAACAATGCTTCGGTTGTTTGCACTTTTTAAAATGTACATTATTGGCGTGATATAGAACCTCGTTGCTTCATCGCGATGGATCAACAACGCAAGTGGAGGGCAAACGTTTGGTTATTTTCAACGATACGATTATTGGGCCACGCTTTATAAAATGTAATCAAAACAGACCTGCATGTGCAAAATTTTAGTCTGGTACTCCTCTCACACTTTTGGAAGAGTTGACATTGCAAATAATATTGAGGTTCTTGTTGCGAAATTACATGATGCCTGATATTACCAATTCGAGAGAAATATTTCTCCCACTTATGATTTTGAAAGCAAATAGAAACTCAAGCATAGTTTTTGTGTAAAATATAAATCGAGAGATAATTATTATACGGAGATCAGACGATAGAACAGTATTCTAAACGCGAAAGTACTGACTTCAGATGAACTACATTTCTGTGAAGAATAACTGAATCGATTAATGCGTTAAAAAAATACATGTTTCCATTTAAAAAACACACAAAGTTGACTTTTCAATATCCTTCATGCGCCGAAACATTTTTTTTTATTATCAAAAACAACCAAGTTATTTCAGGTGATAAAAATAGACCGATTTTGGAGCGTGCTGCCAACGTAAAATTTGAACAAGATATGATTCTACATCTTCTAAAGAATATAAAATATGTAATTATTTATCCGGGAAGTGATATATCGAGTTCATACGATGCATAGTACTATTATAAACAAACTGTCGTTCGATTTTTTATTCTAGAATTAAGGAAAAAAATGCTAGACCGCACTCCGATCAACACCATCCAAAATGTCGATGAAACGTAAGGAAAAAAAGTATTTCAATCTTGAAATGCTAAAAAATATATGTAGAAAGTGGCGAAAAATTTCATCAAATCCTTATGCTGTAAAAAAATTGTGAAATATCGCTTCTCATTTTACCATTTTACATTAGTCTCCCCCTTTAAGCGGATTATTGGTACCGCTGCGGCCCTCTGCAAGTTTAATCTAATAGTTATTTAATATACGTGAATGTAATTATTCGAAGATTTATGTAATCCTCCATTAGTTCACTTTTTTAAATGCTTTAAAGGAGAATAATAAATATAAAATAAAATAATTCAGTCGAGATTGAGAGTACACTCGAGGGTTATAGACTTTCAATTCCTCACCTGAAATTCCGGATTCTTCGAATCCTCTAGAATAGCGTCGATCACGTTCTCGATCTGTTTCTGATCGTTCTTGTGGCTCTCGACGCCATTCTGCCGCGATCTCCTACCCGACGAGTAAACGCCGTCGGTACCGTTTGTTCTTCTGCCGTCAAAGTCCGTCTCCGGGCTGGTTTTCGATGCGTCGGAGTCTACGTCCGAATCGTGGCGTTTCCTCGGGCGCGATTCCGCTAGGCCGTCGAGTATCTTTCGTTCGTGGGGTTCGTTCTCGAGGCTGTTCCTCTTACCCATCAGTTTCGCGTCGCCGTTTCTCCATCGTTTGCTCTCCGAGTACGATTCGCTGTTCTTCACGCTCTCGATCTCCTTGATGGCGTCGCTGACTTTCTCGAGTTGTCGACGGTTCTCCTTCAGAGCCTTCTTCACGATCTGGTCCTCGATCAACAAATTCACCGGGATCTTCGACACCAATCGATCGTTCCCAACGCTCGGATTCGAATTCGCATTCGTATTCGTGCTCGGCGACTTCCTCGGTACGCCGCTCGGTTCCTCGACGATCTTCCCGCCGACGCCGCCCACGACGTGGCCGGAACTGTTCGAGCCGGATTTCGAAAACGAAAGAGAAACTCCGTTGCATTCGTTGGCTCTGTCCTGGTCGACGTTCGCCCGACGTTGCTCCACGGTGGACGGCGATAATGGCACCGAGAACGACACGGAGACCGTGGCCGGGACTACGGGCGACACTCGAACCAGCTGAACGTCCTCCCGCGTCTTATCCTTGTCCGATACGTCCGACGTCTCCTCCTCCTCCACCGTCACCTCCAACTGTCCGCGATTTCCGGCCTCGTCGTTGATGGCCGGAAGCGACACGACCCTCACCAGGTCGGGCGGAACGGGGGCCGCGAATTCCGCCGGTGGCTCGTTCATCGGCTCCAGTTTCCCTTCCCTGAGCAAGCTTCGGATGTTGTCGAACGTGCTCGAGTATCGTTTCACGTCCGACAATCGATTCTCCTCGCCGTTCTCGAACGACAAACTTCTGGTTTTCGTGGGCGCTTTCGGCAATCCTACCCGCTCCTTCTTCCGGCCGCGTCGTATCACGTAGGTGCCGTTCTTCGTCAAGTCCTGCGGCCGTATTTGATCGAGGTCGTTCGTCGAGGAGTCCGAGTACGGGGACACCAGGTCGTCGTCGGTGGTAGAGAGCCGTTGATCCTGCCAGTCGTCAAAGTCACGGAGCTTCGACGCGGATCCGACGCCTGGAAACATCGTGACACCAAACTTACGAGGGGACCTTACAATCTTGGACATTATTTTTTAAAAGATAGCAGATGCAAGTTGTAGTATACAGGGACAAGAAATTAGAGTTGCTCAAATTTAAAAACAAATTAACTTTCAATATAAAAATTAAGGTCACTGTTATATTTTTAAATGGAACTAGATATTTTTAACTCCATAGTATTGTAGGCGACGTCCAGACGAATTTAACAACTTTTACTATTTAAACAAATTCTTGTAATTTTTAATAAATAATTTGTTTCCGTTACAATAGATTTTAGTCTAAATTGACCTGAATTTTTCCACTTTCAATGAAATTTAATTTTTTTACATAAACAAAGCCGTTGTGGCACGTCTTTCTGTTATCCAATTGATTTTTTGTAGAAAATACTTTTCTCCAAAATGGAATAATTTGGAGGAGTCAAGATTCTGAAAAAAATTGTTGACTAAGAGTAAAGGTCCAAGGACCACCCTATTGTGCAGTAATAGGGCTAAAACTACTCTGTATATTACGTGGAATTCAGAAATCGTACCACCAATGTATGTTATTTAGAATCGAAATATAGAATTACTTACTGGAGACGTCGCTGCTCTTGCGTCGCCTCCTGCCGATCACTTTGGTGCTTCCCGGGGCGTACAGGGGATCGTCTTCCAGAGACACCTCCCAGGCGATCGAGTGCCTCTTGCTGATCGGCGGCGGCGGAGGCAGAAGCTCCTCCAGCGAGTCGTCGGAGAACCGTTCCTCCTCGGATTGCGTCCTGAAGTCGGTGGAGTTGCGCGTGGAGAAGTCCGAGTTTCGCGTGGAGAACATGTCCGAGTAATGTTCCTCGGAGCATCTGTCCGAGGTCGGGGCGGAGAATCTCTCGCTGGAGTCGGCACGCGTGGGCAACGAGAACGAAACGAAATCGAGATTTCGGATCGAGAACGGGTCGGAGGTCGGCACGGACACGCGGTCGTTCGAGCTGGCGCTGGCCACGGCTATCGAGAAGTCCGAGTGAAACCTCTCGTTCGAGTTCGACGTCGAGTTTGCACGCGAGAAGTCCGACGAGTCGCATGTGGCTCTCATCGAGAACCTCTCGACGCTTACGGAGCTCGATCGCGGAATGGAGGATCTCTCCGATTCCGAGTTACGGGAGAATCTGCCCTCGCTGGAGTCCGAGTCGTTCCTCCTCCTGGCGTTCTGCTCGGATCGGTCGTGATTCATCAGGAGTCTGTCCTCCACGCTGCTGGACTTCATCATCTCGCTCTGACGTTGCTTCCGCAGATGTGACGTACGATCGTTCTCGAAGCTCTGCCGGTGGGTCTTGCTCTCCCGTTCCGGGCCCTCGACGCCCTCCTCGTCCGAGGAACGACGCCGGACCTCGCGATGCCTCTCGATCGCCGTCGGGTTGGTCCTCGGCGGGATCCAACCGAACGACACCTTCCCGTCGTACGGCAGGCTGGCGAACTTGCTCGGTGGACTCGGGGGCTGCGTCATCTTCAGGGGATCGGGGTTGTTGCCGTTCTCCCAACCGTACGGTCTCTGGTGTCGAGTTTTCGGCTGCGCGAATAATAGTTACCCACACTATGAACTTTGCTCGAACCGAATCGCGATCAAAATTAAGGGGCCTTTCTACCTTGTGGGATTAAAAGAACCGAATTTTTTTTGCATTGTCTTTTAGTATGTAGTCTCGAAAATATATCTACCAAATGTTAAATTGAAATTCGGAAAACTAACGAAGTTATAGCCTGCTGTAATGTACCACGCGCAGGTATATGTATATGTATAACTGGACGTGAAACTTTAAGTTGCCTTTCTACTTTGTGGAATTAAAAAAATCGAATTTTTTTTGCATTGACTTTCAGTATGTAGTTTCGAAAATATATCTACCAAATATTAAATTGAAATTCGGAAAACTAACGAAGTTATAGCCTGCTGTAATGTACCACGCGCAGGTATATGTATATGTATAACTGGACGTGAAACTTTAAGTTGCCTTTCTACTTTGTGGAATTAAAAAAATCGAATTTTTTTTGCATTGACTTTCAGTATGTAGTTTCGAAAATATATCTACCAAATGTTAAATTGAAATTCGGAAAACTAACGAAGTTATAGCCTGCTGTAATGTACCACGCGCAGGTATATGTATATGTATAACTGGACGTGAAACTTTAAGTTGCCTTTCTACTTTGTGGAATTAAAAAAATCGAATTTTTTTTGCATTGACTTTCAGTATGTAGTTTCGAAAATATATCTACGAAATATTAAATTGAAATTCGGAAAACTAACGAAGTTATAGCCTGCTGAAATATACCACACGTAGGTATATATGGACGTAAAACTTTAAGTTGCCTTTCTACTTTGTGGGATTTTAAAAACCGAATTTTTTTTTGCATTGTCTTTTAGTATGTAGTCTCGAAAATATATCTACCAAATATTAAATTGAAATTCGGAAAACTAACGAAGTTATAGCCTGCTGAAATGTAGCGCGCGTAGGTATAACAACTGTACGTGAAACTTTAAAGCTGTTTTTCCCGAAACTACATTTTTCGGCACTGCGTATGTGATAACAGAAAAACTATTCGAGATATCAACAGGAAATTTATACAGTATCTTTAGAACTAGTCTCCCTATAGCATGAACTAGGATAATTTCGATATTTGCAATACTTTTTTTTTTATTAACAAAAAGGCAACCGAATATATGAAAATATTCAGTATTTTTTCGTAAAATAGCCATTTTGTCATTTTTTGTTCTTTTGAAAAGATCCTAGTTCATGCTATAACCACACTCATCTATATTAAGAATATCGATGGTTTTTGGATTTCGGATAACTTGTTCGCAAGATATCACATACGCAGTCGAGCGCCGTTACTAAAAACTGTTGTTCGTTGATCAACAAAAACAGCGTAATCAGTAGATATTATGCGTTGCAAAAATTCGTAGATATAGCTAAATATATAATAAATGTATCTACAAAACACGGACTTAATCGCTCTTTAATAGTCCGCAAAAAAAAATCACAAAGAAACATGTATTTTTCGTGCCTACAAGGTAGAATGGCCCCTTAAGGGGGGAAATCACTGACGGATTGAAAAAATCGAAATTTCTTTTATCTCTTATCAATGCTTGGGGTTTTAAGAATTACCCCCTAAAATATTCAAGTAAAATTCGCGAAAATGACAAAGCTCCACCATCTTGTAATAAATAACTATTTTTTAATAATCGTTTGGCATCGAGATCGTCACGGAAGTCTTTTATTGTTATGTGTTTGAGAGTGTTTCGAGCTATTAAATATCCCATTGAGGCATCACTGCATCAGGAGAACCTGTTGAAACTTGAGCCTTGGTACTTCATGAACAGTCCGTTAAAAAATATCTATAAATGCAAATTTATCCGATTCCATCCCGGTAAACTTTCAGTAACGTTCGATTATTGTTTCAGCGGTGTTAGATTGACTTTTGTTTCTGGGATACCTGACCTTGGCATATCGGATCCCACTTTTTCCGATCATATTAAAGACACTTCTCCTACCACCTATAAAACTTTTTATTCGATTCACAGAACGTTCAGATATTTCAGAAACAACTTCGAGATTAGTCTACCATTATGTGAATATTAAACTGGACTCTGTTTTATAAATATCAATGCAATACTATTGAACAAAGTTCTACAGTTGATATTTTCCCACTCCAATTCACCTGCCACACCTCTAACTTGTAAATAGTAATTAAAACGAAAAAAAAAACTGTAAAAGCAAAAATCAATATACATATTGGGTGTACAAAATAAATTTTGGTCCTCCTATTCTAAAATTCAACTTCTATAACTGTAACTTAAAATAATCCCTCTTACTTTCGACGACCTTCCTCCATCTATCAAGCAATCAACAAATAGAATTGTTAAAAAAATTAAATGGTTTCTAATCGATGCAGTCGATGCATTTTTTAATACTAGGAAACGATGCAACGACAGAAAACGATGAAAATAATCGCACACTTTATTACTGTATATTAATAAAAAGTTAATAACGAGGGACACGTAGAATGTTGGGTGATTTTTTTTCGGTCCAGCTTTATACGAAAGGCGGGCTAAAGCGTCTCGGCCAATATAAATCGCGATCCCTCCCAGGGCTGATCTTTCTTTCCCCGTGCAATACACGTATGTACTTACGAGCGTCGTTTGAGTGGTAACCGCGCTACCGTTTCCGTGTCGTATGCTGTCCTCCATGGCCATCATCCATTGTTGCCGTCCGCTTCGACGATCCGAGGAATGGCTGCTCCTTTTCGAAGAGTTTCCTGGCGATACCCTGACGACACACGCGCGCGCACACGCACACCGTGATTGTTGCTTCGAGTCATCGTTTGTGTACGCGGTACGGCAAACGTCACCGGGGATCCGCGGAAACGCGAATCGATCGTCTCCGCGAGGCGAACTCGGCTCGTCCGAGCACGAACACGTCCGAGGGAGTTCGAGACGCGTAGAGAGAAAAAAAAAAAAGGGGTACGGGTCGAGGGGATCGAGAACGCTCGAATCGACCGATCGACCGGTTCTCGACTTCCGTTCTATCGGCATTCCATCGACGACGAATCGAACGAACGAGGGGAGCGTCGCGTCGACTTTTTTTCGCATCGATAGCTACGGGGAGATCGATATTTCTGCCGATGGCGGCGGTCACTCGCAAGAAAAGAGGCTGCTCCGTGGCGAAACAGAAGCTGTTACCCTCCCCCCCGACCTGGCGTCGAGATTCGAACGAGACCGTCGTCTGCGTAGGAACCGGATCGATTCGATTGCCGTTTAACCCGCGCTTTTCAAATTTAACTCGCGAGGGGAGCTTCTAAAAAATAAGCTTGACACGTTCACTGTCCATGACCCGTAGATGGGTCATATCACTGTGCTATCGGATACGCCGCTGAGAAACCGGACAGTGAACGCGTTAAACCGTATGCGTGGTATTGCAGAATTAATGAAACTGACATTCGTGATTCACGATTCGAATATGAATTGAAGTATTACTTGCGCGAAGCTAGACAGGAGAATTTTAATGCACGAAATGCTCCATATTCCCGTGGGATGATGCGGGTAAACAACAATAGCCAGAATTTTGTATTGTCATCCAAAGTGTGTATCGTCGGAAAATGTGTCGATAATTTAATGGCGAGACCGTTCGTGTTGGACGGGTCTGGGCTCTGGAGCGTTCCGTCACAGAGATAAACTTACATCGGCAACAGAGTGGAAATGATCCGCTCCGCTTCTTCCGGCGGCGGTGGAAACTCTTGCGTGGCCATTCCCGCGGGATCCTGCGGCTCTGGACAGTCTGGAACTGGACGCAGCGCTACCAGGGCCATCTTTGCTTTTCGACCATTCATGCTCATGTAACCGTCGTCCTCGGATTGGTGTCCTGTCAACACGCCATACGATTTCACGGTGGTCTACCATTAATGGGACGCGATGCAAACGCTCGATAAAGAAAAGAAGAACCATCAAACTAAATCCATGTACAGGGAGTTCGGCCACCCCTGGGAAAAATTTTAATAAGCGATTCTAGAGAGCAAAATAAGACGAAAATCAAGAATACCCATTTGTTGATCGAGGCTTCGTTAAAAAGTTATTAACGTTTAAAGTTCCATCTGTAGAACTGTAGTTTCGACAAAATTAAAAAATTCCAAATCGTTCTAAATAAATTATTTTCAGTTGCAGGGGCCAATTATAATCATTTTTGGTTATAAGACATAACCCCGAAATCCTACGCACTTTCGAGAAAAAAATTCTTTTCTGAAAATATAATGTGAAAGTTAAAGATATTGGAGAAAAGTTAAATACAAAACGTTATAGTTCCTAATGCTCTGGATGACTGTGGTAAAAGAATTTTCTTCCTAATGGGAATTCTCTTTTAGTTGTCGCGAAAGAGTGACAAGCTTTTCTTCTTATTTTCTTCGAGTCAGACCAGAATGTACCCATCTTCGTCCCATACTTCATCTTCCTCTGTTTCAATTTAACAAGCACTATCGTTGCTAAATCCTAATTAGTACGTTTACCGAGCATAATTATCGTTGTAAATACATCTTCTCGCTAAATGGTTGCTAATTTACAACGGGACGCACGGGTTCTTACGACCTAAAGGCAAGTGGCCAACACGATACCAACACTATTCTTTTCCATTCTCGACACGCATCTCGGTTCTTTTTCTCGATAAAAAGTCCAAATTTTGTGTAATATTGTAGCAAATTACTGATATATCGTTGAATGAATAGAATCGTGTTAAACTGGTACACAGAACGCGAAAAAAAATATTTATTGCCACGTTTAGAGATAAATCGATCATCAGAAATTTGTTAGGAAGCCCGTTGGATAATTCATTTTCACCATTAATATCAGGGTGAATTTTTATTAACACTCCTGCATATTCCACTGGATAAAAGGATTCCAAGTTCAAAAGGAACTACGCGATGCAAATAAACGGTTTTCTAGCAACAGATTGTTAAAGTTTCAGCCATTGCGCGCCCTACAAACACAATATCGCGTGGGGACTAGGACAAAGTTGACGAAGGGACCCAACCTGTGGACGACACTGGTCATACATAGTAATGGGAGACAAAGTGAACGAATCGCGTCACGCTCACTAGCAACTCGGCGCACTTTAATTGGCTAAAACTTTAATTACCTTTAGCGAGAACATCGATCGTACGCGATCCATGGTTCCCTTCATCGACTGTAATACACGGACACGGAAGAAAAAAATCACTTTGATCTTCAAGACTAATCCTTTGATCGAGTAATTTCAAATTGATCGCGGGAAACTGGTAAAATATATTTTTTTTCTCAAACCAAAATAATTCTATACCATGCACTGGCAAAGTTTACCAGAAATTACTATTAATTTTGTACGTTCGAATTTTAGAAAAAACATAAATGTTCTTGAAAGTGATTTCTAATTTCCTTCGTTTATATTGTCATCGTTTTAGAGCGTAAGCGAATATCCCCGTTGCAACCAATAAATCTTTCGATTGCTATTGTCCCTCGATCTCTGCCGGCGAAACGAGTTAATAATAAAAACGTCGGGTGGTTTCGCGTTGAAACGAGCGTGATTCTCGAGCGTGAGCCCCGGCAAAGTGCTCCATTTCGCGAGGCCCTTACTTTGGTACCTCGAGCAAACTGGCCCGCCGCGTTACGAAAAAATAGAAGGCCAATTAGCGAAATAATTACGCGCAAATGGGTCAAACACGGTGTCGTTGTTTGCGTTTCGACGGCGAAACGCCAGATAAAAGCAACGTCGAGGAACGATGCTTATCCGCGGCGCTCCGTGGGCCCGGTTTCCTGGAAGAAATGCGCCTCGAATGTTCATTTTTAAAGGGATCGTTCGATAGGATCGAAGAACGAATCTTCTTTGCGCGGTTCGTTCCGAGTTTTTGGCACCTTGGCGCGGACCGCGAGCGACGATTGTGCGGCACGCGCGCCAAAGCGAGACAGAAAGTGAAAAAGCAAAAGAGCGAACGCCGGGGAAAGGAATAAAGCGGGAATAGGAGAAAAAGAAAGTTGGGAGGAGGGCCAAAAAAAATACCTAAGGACGGACTCTCGTCGTCGGGCGTGAGACCAATACTCGGTTCCGTGCTGCTTCCACAATCCCCGACGTCTCCGCCGCCCCTGCCTCCTCCGCCACCGCCGCCGCCGCCGCCACCGCCGCCACCGCCGACGCCGACGCCGACGCCGACGCCACCGTCGACTTCGCCTCCGCCGCCTCCGCCGCCCTCACCCTCTGTTTCGTGCTCGTCGTACTCTGAGAGCACTTTGTCCAGCAGCTCGATCGATCGTTGCACATCGTCACCTCTGGAACAAACGTATCGTTCGATTCTATAGTGATTACGCGTAAAAATCAGGTAACGTTGTTACTCGAACCGCTCGAATCGCGCGATTTTCGCCTACGATCATCCGCATCCTCGATACGCTCTCGCCTGACGCGTGGCTAACGATTTAGAGGCGCCCTGCTGTCGATATATATCGATTATATCGAAACCTTGTCGATAATATCGAAATCTTATTGACAAGGGTATTGTACCGCAGAGCAAGAAGGTCAATTAGAAACTCGATAAGAAGAATGGGGAATGTTAAGGTTTGGGCGCTGCACGACCACATACGGTTTCAAACTGTCGTACATTAAACCCGCAGTGCGACTGGTTTTATGGCAGCGTCAACCACTCGACATGACCGCCCTGCACGACAAGTTGCACAACTTCGGACACGTCGCATTTATCGTTCCAACCGTGGTAGAAACCATAATAATTACGGGCAACAATTAACGTGCAACTTGTCGCACGCCTGTGGTTCTTTCCGTTTGAAATTGATACCCGTGTATCGACGCTGAAGCAGTGTTAATCGATTACAATTTTAATCGATCGATCAAATAGAAATGCAAGTTGCAGTTGACGATCGACTGACGGTTCCAATTACATTTCGATTAATACTGTCCTGAAAAATGTCTTTAAATGATCTCACGATTTTACAGTGACCAGTCCGTCGGTATCGATCAATTGTGTCAAGTCTCGCGCCTGCTTAATTACATCTGCGATCCATCGGAAACAGAAGGAGCAATCAACTCGAACGTCGAACGTAGCTCGTAACTTTTTAAGAATAGCGTTCGATGAATAGTTAATAGCTACGAATCGAAACAGTTACCTTCACGATAATAGTAACATTAAATAATAGCTCATTCGTGACTGTTGAAAAGAGATATTAGTCAAGTGAACAATAAAGAAACCTATTTATATAATTAATTTACATCTATTTTTGCTAATGGAGACTTCTACAAAAAGATTTGCAAACGCTTCATTGTCTCAAAACAAAAGAGCTGCACCGTTTCCAAAACAAGTGGTTCAAATCAGGGTTTGAAAAGGTTCCAACTATTAACCGTTTCAAATTGAAACAGTTCTAAAATCGATACATCCATAATAGATATAACATCACCGACACTAGAACTGTTTTCAACCCCTACAACTATCGACAGTGTAACTGTTTTCAATCCCCGGTGGAAATATCGGTGTAACGCCGGTATTTAGCGTTTCGGTGGGAGTTTCTGGTCCGATCGGTAGTGGCAGCGGCGATGGCGACGGTGGAGAACGCAACGTGCAAGTCGAGGAAAGGCGAATAGAGGGAGGAAGATTGCCTGCCTCGACTAGAAGGTGCCAGAAGGGGGCAGAGAATCGAGAATTCGCAGAGGTCAGGGGAAGCTAGAAGGGGTAGCAGATGGCGGGAGGCGAACGAGTGCGGTGGTGGTGGAGACGGAAAGCAAGGACGAGGGGGGTGTCTCGACGAGGAAAGTTGCGAGGCGGCACCGACAAACCACCCTGCGCGTACTGACGCAATGCGGTCTTTGGTCGGCCGAGACGTAATCGCGATTGTTAATTACCGCGGAAACGCGACCGTCGACTTTCGTCATCGAGACGAGTGGAAAAAAACGCGCGTTTTGTTCCGAATGGCCACCGATTACGGTACCTTTTCCATCGAGAATCGTATACAGGGTGAGACACGAACCAGTCCCCACGATTTTTCAGACCCTTTCGACGATCTCACAAAAAAATGTTTCTTGTCAAAGTTAATCAGTAGACTGCGGATCTTCCTGCAAATTCATATTTTTATTAATAAAATTAATGAAATTGGAGCTTTGTAGAGGGTTGTCTCAACCCCTAGATATAATACTTTGTACCTTACTTGAAGTATTTCTTATATTCTTGTATATTAACTAGATTCTGTAGCTTTTTGAAAATTAAAATTTCGCAGTCTATTAATCAGTATTTAACCGACAACAAATTGTAGTTGCTTAAATTTAAAAACAAATTGGTTTTCACAATCATCTGAATCATATTCAACTTTATCTAAAACATTCCTCGCTACGCGTAATAATAGTTTAAAAATAAACTTGTTATATTTTTTTAATTTATGTGAAATTTTTTCCAAGGCATGCCTCTTACTGAGATGAATGTAATCGTTGTCATTAATAGTAAAAAGTATATACTTTGAGACGAGCATCACTGCCTCAAGCATCATTGTTAAGATAAAAAATTGTATGCCAATTTCTCGTTTATCATACAAAACTAAAAGTGTCTCAGACTAATTTAAAACTGAAAATAGATAATAAAGCGATTTTCTACTGGCATTATAAGGAAATACGAAGAGTTGATAAAGTGTTGTTTGTCTTGGTTAATCCTTATTGAGGCACAAAGTCTGAAACTTGGAACGCAGCGACGACCCGTCTAGAAATACAGGATGTACCAGAAAATACATTGTTCGCGTCAGAATGAATTGTGATGTCGTTGGTTCGCGAAACAATGCGAACAATCGGTAGAAGAACGGATCGCTTCAGCGAAAGAATAGCTGTTGTGGGTAATCGCTAGGAGCAACGTTTCAGAATCGAGCGCCTAGCTACGTGCAGCGCTCAACCAAGCTATTCAAGACTCATCAAGGCTTTCAAGACCCATCAAGACTTTCAAGACTTTCAAGACTTTCCAAGACTTTCAAGAACTTCTGCCTTCGAATAATATTCGGAGCGATTCGGAGCTTCATAGTCCCGAATGTTTCGAATCCTTTCGAGACTGAGATTCAAACAGGCTTTTTACTCAAATACACCGTAATTACGCATTTTAATTTATGGAAACTTTATACAGAACAATCATGGTAACGCAAACAAAAATTTCATCGTAACATCTTTCAAGGAATAAGACAGCGTGTTAATTTATCTGTTTGTAACATGGATATTAGTGAAATATTAAAAGAAATATTTTATTATTTTTGATTTTATGCATTAAGTACAGTCAGAATAGTACCTCGAAACATTACCAAGTACACGAGTAAACAGAATTTCCTTCAAAATAATTCTGTTACAACACGAGACTTTGATTCAGCAATTTTCTGCTCAAAATTATACACGTGTCTCCAACACATAGTCAAAATTTATGCGAATACTTCCTATATTTAGAAACGTTATTTTAGGTGATCCGCGCGTATCCCCTAAGGCAGTGTTTCTCACGTTGTGGAGCCCCGGAGAAAGATAAATATTCCACTTCATCACCTCTTTCATCAAATTCAAGTTTGTCCAATTTTCAGCATAATTGTATCAAAATTGTTTTATACCGACTGGTAACTTGAATGTTTCGGACAGTTTCGCCGGAGAATCGAATAAAGCCGTGAAGTTTGAGAAACACTGGTCCAGGAAACAACGGTACGGAAGTTAGACGCGCCGACTATTTTGTAATTACTGCAGACTGCGGGCACACACGTTTCTCATTCCGTTCTTCTCATTGAACAAGTTCGATCCGACGCGACGTACCGATCGGTACGGCGAGAGAACGCGTAAAATGGTAAGAACGACGCGAATGGACGGATACGCGCGTGCAAGTAGGAAAACAGGGGTTGTGCAACAACGAAACGTGTGAATAAATAAGCACGATCCCGTCGACGGAGACAGGGAGAGGGAGGGAACGAATTCGAGGACAGACCCTTTCAGGAGTTTGCCCAAAGCAAAATGTTCTAGCCGCGAAACAAAGCACGGAAATCCATCCCCCGTTTCATTCTTTTCCTTCGTTCCCGCTTCGCTCGCTTTCCTCTGTCGCTTCCGTGTTCGGCTTTTCAACGGCGGCACGGAACAGGCCCGTTGTCAGACTCGTTAACGTTTGATTCATTATTCAAGATCGTAATTGGCCGAAAGCTGAGCGAGATAAGGATCGCGGAATATTTTTCTTCTCTATCCACGTCGGACCATTCTTACTGTCTTCTCGATCCTTTCTTTTTCGCGCATCAAACTCCGTCCTGCGCCGATGCATTCTTCCGGCGACTCGTCTCTTCTTTCCAGACGTTCTCAACAAGTCGTTTTTCATCCTTGGACAGGGCTCGTCGTCGACCAAATCAAAGTTTTTGGCATTCAAAAGATGTACGAATACGTAAACTAAATTACACGAGATTATTTAGAAAACGTATGGAAATGAATATACAAACGGGCAGGACGTGGAAGAATTTCGAAATAAATAATAATAAGGGTCAGTTGCCCTAACATGGAATACGTTTCTAATTTGGAACATCGCGATATTAAAGAATCGTGATTTTGCAATCGATTACAATTGTCACTTGTAAGTCAAATATTAATATAATATAGAAAATGAGCACCTCAGTAAAAAGAAGTAAACACCTCCTAAATTGCTATTATATTTTAAATTGTAAATTACAAATTCATAATATTTAAGTTTTTATAAAAGTCCTGCAAGCAAGTGAAACATGTGTACAAAAAAAAGTATTCCATATTGGGGCAACTGACCCTACATAATAAATGCATTTTGTTTCGATAGCCCAAAAGCTGAAGAGTAAATAAAATAAAACAAAAATCGATTTTTTATTTCACTGGTTTCGTAGCGGTTATTTTATTTTATTTTTTTTAATCATTAATTACAATTTTAAACGTTTTTCTGTTCTATAGAAGTCAGATACAGACAAGAAATGTAGCTTTTGTATAGCGAATGGAGTTGTATAGTGGCAATGATTCGTACCGTGTGAGGGGCATATGGCTGCGTTCGTGTTACCCCTTCTTCTTCGCCGGACGCTTTTAAAATCAGACAAACGAAAGAATCGACTCGAGAGACCTCCCACCAGTTGCCTTATTGAGGGAAACTCTTCCACCCCTTACTGCTTCGGCCAACAGCTCAGACGCTGAGAGTTTAACAGGATTCAATGAAAGTACTGATAGGATCGAATACGTCGCAACGAATCTTTGTTCGTAAACGTATTATTTTTTTTCTTTTTTTTAAATTAACCCTGAGCAAACCACCACAGTCCAGACGTTTTAT